ATGAATAGGTTGACCAGGTGCAAGCTACCAGATGTGACTTTCTGTGGTTTCTAAGCCTCAGGAGGCCATTTATCTCTTCAATTAGATAGGACTCAATGCTAACAAGAAGTGTGGCAAAGCCAGCATTTTATTATTAGGGTCTGTAGATTTGATAAGATTTTATATTCTCCAATAGGAAGAGCACTCTAAATGTGTTATTTCTCTTCATTATATCACAATTATATCATAAAACAGACATCTCAATATTTGTGCAATCGTATGCCCATGTTCATAAAGCCATTTCTGATAGCCTAGATTATCTTATACTCTAGCAAAATGCCATTTTCACCCATTTTACTTTGGATAGATTTTTTTAATGATTCAAAAATATGTTGATGACTTATGCAAAGACTTCAAGAAACTCGAAGAAACAGTTGACAAAGCTCAAGTATCTAGTGGGGTTTTACTGGAGAACTTCAAAACATTGAAAGAACGCTCTTCTACTCTCAACACTTCCCTCACTAAAGCTCAGGCCTTATCTCATGCTTTGTGGCTATTTCCCAAGAAAATTGCACGTACTTCCCTCTTTTTGAGGAAACTTGAGGGTCTCTACTCCCACCTTTCCAAGTTTTAGCCCCTGAGCTATCCTGAGTCACTAACCTAGCCAGATAATCTAGTCTTAGCTGACATTTCAAAGGCTTTCTGGAGATAACATGCACTCAATTTAAAATTCCCCCACCTGTTTCTTTCTTATTTAACTCAATAGGACCAAAAACTGGCTGCCTTTAGGATAATCTAGAGAGCTCTATAAAAATGCAGGTTCTTGAGCTATATTCTAGATTTTTATTCTACAAGTATAAAGAGACTGGGAATCTCCAAAGAATTATGTAGAGTAGCAAAAGTTGGAAACCATTTGGTCAATTCATTAATGGCTATTGTGGGAAATTTCCCAATAAGTGATGGGACGCTATCACCGGGTAAGCAAAAATTCATATTAGGCAGACCTGGGTTCAAATCTTTATCACTTGTGGGTTGTTTAGTCTCTCTGAGCCTTGATTTTCTTTCTTAGAAAACAAGGATATAATAATATTTGCATAGATTGTTATATAAATTGAATTAGATAATTTTGTTGAAGATGCTACTATGAGGTAAGAAAAAGAAAATTGGGAGAAAGGAGGCAAAATGTACGGTAGTACAGAAATAATGGTTATGTAATGCAGTCCTGAAACAAATTGTCAACTGTGCTGCTTTCCTGGGGGTAATTCAATTCATTGTACTCTTCTGAGTTCTGGTGAGAAATTATCCTGGATGAAAATTAAGAATTTGGGGTATTTAGAGGTAATCCTGGTCAGCACACAGCAGCTTCTTCCCTTGAGCAACCTGGGGATACCACTCATCAATTCAATATGTTTGTTAAGTGCTTACTGTCTGTCAAACACTGTTCTTACACAAAGTACACCATACAGGGATGTAAGAGAGAAGTTGTTCCTACTCTATTGGAATTTATATTCTGGTGGGAGCAAGGCTGATAATATACAAATAGACAAATTACCAGTAAAGGAATGAATAAGAAAAAAATCAGATCATGATAAATATCATGCAAAACATTAAAAAGGCAATATAATAGAGAGTGACTGGAGAGATGGTTTAGATTGGGTGGAAGTAAAAGAGCATCTCCCAGGCAGTGATATTGAGCCTGACATCTGAAGGGCAATAAAAAGTCACCCATGAGAACATTGAGGGTAAGAGCATTCCTGGAACAGGGCACAACTAGTACAAAGGTCCTAATATGGCAAGGTTGGCATTTTCAAGAAACAGGAAGAAGGCCAGTGTGGTTGAGACACAGTAGGGTAGAACACAAGGAAGAAGAAATAAGAAGTGGTCAGAGCACAGAGAGTGTTGTATACCAGAATGAGGAGTTTGGATTTTATTCTAAGATTGATGAGAAGCCACTGAAAGGTTTTAAATAAGAATAGTAATGTGGTTAGTATATATTTCACCAGGATCAATCTGGGCTCTCAGTGGAGAATGAATTTTATGAGAGAGAAGTGAAAGCAAGCACACCATTTAGGAAGCTATCACAGTAGCCCAGGCAAGAGGACCAACGATTACAATTTGGAAGAGAGTGATGATCACAGAAAGAGAGAAACAGACGGAGTCAAAACACGTTTTAGAGGTGATGGCTAGAGATGGTGTGATATAGTGGATGTGGGATGTGAGGGAAAGAGAAGAACCAATGAGAAACCAAGGCTTTGGAGCTTAAGCAAGTTGGTGATGACTGGTAAAGAGTAGGTTAGGAGAGAGAAAATTCAAGAGCTCTCCTGGTGATAGTTCAATTGCCATAAAACTTTAACAACAACAAAAGAAATTAGCCATCTACATAAGTTCATGAAGGTTATCCAAATACTAACAGTACAGAAACTGAACTTCAGTACATGGTTTATGCTGAGATTTTTCAAAAAGAATTTACAATGCATTCATATAAAGAACAACTCAATAAAAGCCACCTCCTAGGTGAGATATTTTAATATTAATATTCTAATACACAAAACTTCTAATTGATAACAGCAAATTATATTTGCAAATTATACATGTGAATTAATAATCTATATTAGGGATTAATTGTCTTGTTGCCATGAGGTTAAAGTTTCACAAGCTTCCTTTAATACCAGGTCAGCTACAGTAACAGCAGAAGTTGTTGAGAGCTCACTATGTATCAGGCATTGTCTTAAGTGTTGATTTTTCAGTAACCCTGTGAGACAAATTCCATGATCGTCCTCATTTAGTAGAGGAGAGACCTGAAGTAACTTCTCCACTTCCAAGAGCCTGCAAGGGGGAAGCAGGGTTTGAGTTTAGGCGGTCTGACTGCAGAGCTCATACACTGAAATCTTGCCTGGAAACCAGTACCACCTGAGCGAGACATTTCTGTGCCCTCCAGCTTCTGTGGCTCCCTTCTCTCCAGTGTTGCCTCCACAGAAATATTTAACAGCTCCATACTCCTGGTACTCCCTTGATAGAGTTCTGTCCACATAAAACTGAAGATAATGGAGGCCAAAGCCCTCGATGTTTGAAAGCTATGATATAAGAAAAGGTAATTGGATTGTTTATTTTATGGGTATAATGCTTTAACTTGTATTCTGCAATAAAATACAGAATTTTATTAATTCACACCTCACTAATCTCCTATGGAGATAACCAACTAAAAGATATGTAATTAAGAAATGTCACCTTTTTTTTCGAAGAATTCTTTAGAGCCTTATTTGTAAGTTAGGCAAATCCAGGTTTTTTCTTTTTTTAAGAGTTATTCATTTCTGGTTTTAGTAATTAAATTTATTATGTTACCAAAGAAGCTTATACTTATGGTATAGTATAAAACAATCAGGGCCTTTTGTGAAGTGTAGTTTTTATGAACTTAGTTTTATTACATGTTAAAATCCATTTACATCTTAGCTAAAAATATTAACTCTCCTTGAAATTACTGAAACTCCATTTCTCAAATAGTTTCTCAGGCAAAGTTCTCACTACTTTCCCTCCATCATTCCAAATGAATGAAGTTTTAACGTGTTCACATTTATGGGACTACATATAAAAATAATAATAAACACCAACTTTTGAAGTTTTCTTCTTTTTAATTTTGTGGAGCCTGCTTAGAGAAATAAATATGTAAAGATACAAATTTACGGCCCTTGATTCAGCAGCAATCCTTCCCCCAAGTTGATGGAAGAAGCCTACAAATGCCCATAGCCATATAAAACTTTTACTGCAGGCATTGCAAACACCACCAGATTTTTGTCACTTATTTTTAGGAGGGAAATTTCTATGTTGAACAATAGGAAATACTGAATAGCTGGATTTGATTGAGGCTAATTTTTCATATTTTAAATATGATAATGATAGGTTAGAGAACTCACAAAAATTTGACACAGGACAAATAGTGTTAATTTTTGAGAGGGAGAAAGACAACTTATCTTTAAAGCTAATATTTACTGAGAACTTACTATGAGCTAATCCCTACATTAAGCACTTTACATTGAATGTTCATAATAACCTGTAAGATGAGCCCTCTGATTATGCCCAAGCAGAAGAGAAACTGGCACTCTAAGCTGGGTCTGCTAGGGTCTCAGCAAAGAATGATGCTGCTGTTGTAATCTAGCCCACCCTTCAGAACTATGTGCCACTGAGCTCTGTTTTCTGAGAAGCGCCTATGGAACATGATTAGCATCTGATCTTTGTTCACACCCTACAGTAGCATCTGGCTCTAGGTGGTATTTCCAGTGACTTGGTGGCGAGGAGGTGTACCTGCCAGTTCTAGATGCCCTTGAGTGATATGAGCAGCATTGCACTGGGCCTTGGCCAGAGATGTCAGCTCAGGGACTACAGGGAAGTCTTTCATTCTGTTCCAATAGCCTGTTCATTTACTGGTGGCAAAGACAACATCTAAAACCCTTGCTTGACATGCTTACCCCTTTTCAGACCTCAATTGTTTGGGGAGAAATTTCAAAACAAAATTTCTCATATGTCATATAAGAATAGTATGTTCTTATTTCCAAATTTTAAATCTACCTGAAGGCATATTACCTGTTGGTGACTAAGATTTCCCTGCACATTCATCTCCTACTGTCTCATAACTTCTCTCTTCCCACCACTTCTATTTTCTTTCCGTTTTTCCTTCTTCTGTTCTCTTCCTTTCTTATATTTTCCCCTTATCTCATCTATTTGGAGGAGGAAGAGAAAGGAGGGGAGGAAGCAATGAAAAGGGGAAAAGAGAAGTTGTGGTGAAGCATTCATGCTTAGCACTTATTTTATATGTGAAATATGTTTGTGCCCATATCACTTTTTGGATACTTGCTTCCTGGTTTTAAAATTGTATGTCTTTAAATTAAATTCCTTACAATTGCACATTTGTATGGGGGTAACTCTCTTTTTTTTAAATTTTTAATGCTTCAAGCAGAGAACTTCTGGATACATGACTTGCTAAATGTGTGACTTTGTATAAGTAATAGCGTCTTTTGCATTTTCAGCTTCATCGTTAGTCCTATAGAGAATGATACCTGTTTCACCAACTGGACAGGTAGGCTCTGAAGATGAGATGAAACACTAAGAAGGAAACATTGAGGAAAGACTAATTCTCATGAAGGAATTCTAGTTACACCATAATATTTCTGCTTCTTTCTCAGTCCTTTCTCTATTTTCTTACTGCCTTTCTCATCTACTGTTCTAGCAATGCCTCATTATTTACATATCAATGAATAAGGCTTTCCACCAGAAACTAATGGATTTTCCACCAAACTAAACCATGGAAAATAATTTTTTTAGCTTTCATCATTTTAAATGGAGTATTTTATAAACAAGAATTACTCATATCCTGCCTGTTTAGACATGGTTTATTAAACATAATTTATGTTTCCTTTGATTCAGAATTATCATCACTATAAACACTAAATACGTAATGTCTTCCCCCATAAATTGTTGACACCTACCCCATGGGGCCATTAGTATATACTGCCTCAATTATTTGAACCTAATTCTGTTGTCGTATTCATATCTTAATCTACCATCTAACTTATGTTTCATAGTTTTTGTTCCCAAATAACTCTGTATTCCCTGATAATATGGACTATTCATTTAACTACTTGTTCCAGTGCCTAGCATGGTGTCCATATTATAATATGAATTTAGTAAACACTATCTGAAGTTGTACAGTTCAGTAATAACTTGAGAATACATTCATTTCTAGTGGAGAAGGAAGTACTTACCACAAGCCTGTTACTTTACATAAATTTAATCTTTGCAACTGGATAAAGAAGGTAACATTATTGTCTCCATTTTATTTTGTTTTCTATTTGTTTTTTCTTTTTTGAGACAAGGTCTTGCTCTGTCTCCAAATTTAGAGTTCAGTGGCATCATCATACTCACTGCATCATACTCTCACTGCAACCTCAAACTCTTGGGCTAAAGTGATCCTCTTGCCTCCTGTATCAGGGTCTGCAGACATGTACCACCATGCCTGGCTAATTATATTACTTTTTGAAAAGATAGGGTCTCTCTATGTTGCTCAGACTGGTCTCGAAATCCTGGCCTCCAGTGATCCTCCTACCTCAGCCTCCCAAAGTGCCACTACCACTCCATTTTAGAAATGACAAAACTGAGGCTCAGAGAACTCAAATCCCTCCCAACCTCATACCTATAACTTGCAACAGGAGACCTATAACTTGAGCCTAAACCTGTCTTATTTCAAAATCCACTCGCTTCTTGTCATAACACATTCCACATATACTCACTGTGATACTGAATGGGCCGGCCATCTGCTTTTTGGTTTGAGAGGAAGTTTGTCGGCTTTTACAATTTTTCTGCCACCTGTCTCAAAGTCACCTGTCACCTCTTTGGCTATCATTTCTCGCATGCCCTCTTCCACCTGGCATTTTACTGTCCTGGTCTGCAATTGATTTATAAACTCCTAAGCATGCTTGTTAGACTTGTTTAAAAGTAGGAATAAAACATTCTCCGTAACAACATAAGTAAGGATTACAAGTGGTTGTCAAGCTGCATGCTGACCCCGGCGGATCAGACGTAGCTGCCTGGATTGCCAAGTTGAGGCTTCTGAAGCAATATCCATGGCTCTGCAGGAATGAGCGCCCACAGGGAGTAGCGATGTCTGGCATGGTTGAAAAAAGGGAAAGTGGTGCCACACTTCTGGGGCCTAGAGAGTTTTCATTGAGTAAATTGCATGAAGATTACTGTGTGGTCTTGGCTTCATCTATCTACATTTTCAGATGTGTTTTTTTCTTTTTTTGTTCCTTCATTCTTAGCTAGGCTATATATAGTTAAGGAGGATAGATAAATGACTTCTGGATAACCAACATGTTTATAATGGTCTTTTTATTTCTCTTCCCTCTTACTTTATTTTTATTGGCCCATGCTCTGTGGTTTAGGTCTTAGGTGTGGCAGCATCACCCATGGCACCCACTGGCTTTATCTAGGTCATTGAGAGCACACAGGAAAACCTGTGCAAACCTCTGGTACCGATTATACAGCTGCAAGTGAGTAAGGAAATTAGCAAACAAACAAATGACTACAGTTGGCATAAGAGATTTTTTACAGAAATATTGAATGTGTGAAGATTTAATTACACATGGCCCCTAACATCCACTGGCCTACTGATATTAACTCCAAACTTCACCTCTGCACCATTCTTTCTACTGTCCACAGAACTGATGACATTTCTGGGCCTCCTTTGCTACTGATCTTGTCTTTGTTACTTCTGCTCCATATACATTTTCCTTTGCTTGCTTTTCCCTTCTCTCTGTCTTTTTTCTCTCTTATCTTGTTGGACCCCTATCATATCATCTGAGCTTCTTAGCTTCTACATGGAAAGACTGACCTTTTGTGTGCATCACCATCAAGCCAGAAGATTTCTTCCCTCTTGCTATCAGATTAATATTTTTTCATATTTATTACACATTGAAAAGATATTTTGGCTACATTGGTTTAAATATACTATATTATCAAAATTAACTTTACTGTTTTCTTTTTGCTTTTTAAAATAGCTAGGATATTTTAAATTATGTATATCATTCACATTTGTGGCTTATACTATATTTTTTTGCATAGCATTGGTATAAGGTCTTATCCTCTCAAATTAGGTTCAATGAGAAGTAATAGAAAACTCCCAAATAACCTATAATGCTTACTAAAGATAAATATTTATTGATTCCTTCACAATAGACCAATAGTAGACAGGGCAGACAGGGCCATTCTATGATCATCAACTCTCAGGCTCCTTTTATAATTCTATTCTACCATCAAAGCATGCTGCCTCATGATCCAAGATAGCTGCTAAAGCTTCAACCAGAATAACCACATTCCAAGCAGCAGGAAGGAGAAAGGAACTCATTAAGAATACATTCTGTGGCTACATCCAAGGTTGAAAAGAAAGAGGAGAAGGTCCTCACCAGTTGGTAGTGACAAGAATGGTGGTACCTGGGTGGTTAAACTTCACAAAATGCCTAGATATTATCCAACTGAAGATGCGCCTCGAAAGCTATTGAGCTTAATGATAGCAAAAAGCCCCTTATTCAACATGTGAGGAAACTGCGAGATAGCATCACTCCCGGGTACATTCTAATCATCCTCACAGGGCACCACGGAGGCAAGAGGGTGGTTTTCCTGAAGCAACTGGGCAGTGGCTTGTGACTTGTGACTGGACCTCTGACCCTCAATTGAGTTCCTCTGCGAAGGAAATATGTCATTGCCACCTCCACAAAAATTGATATCGGCACCGTGAAAATCCCTAAACATTCTACTGATGCTTACTTCAAGAAGAAGAAGCTGCGGGAGCCCAGACACCAGTGGGATGAGATCTTCCACACAGTAAAAAAGAAATATGAGATTACAGAACAGGGCGAAGTGGATGAGAAAGCTGTGGACTCCCAAATTTTACCAAAAATCAAAGCTATTCCTCAGCTCCAGGGCTACCTGTGATCTGTTTTTGCCTGGACAAATGGAGTTTATCCTCACAGATTGGTACTCTAAATTTTTACAAAGAACCTAATTAAATAACTGAAAAATTAAAAAAAAAATAAGAATACATTCTGTGTGCAGCCTTCTATAACCAACTTCTAGCATCATCTCTGACAGGCAATAACCAGCTTTGGCCAACATATGAGCCACCCCTGTAAAATATGGGGGAGAAGGGAACTAACCAATGTGCTCTGGTACCATTTTAGTTATTTTGTCCCCATAAATACAAGAGAGGTTGGACAGTAAAGACTTTATTCCTAACAGTCAAGTGCACAGCTAAAAACCAGGAGTTATTTTTAGGATGACCATTTGTCCCAGTTTTCTTGAAAGTCTGTTTTGTATGTGTTGTCTTGGCATAATTATTAATAGCTCCCCCTTTCTCTCTCTCAAGTGTCCTAGTTTGGATGATAAATTATATGGTCACCCTTGTTACGGTACCAAGAAAAAAGAGAGAAACAGATGATAGGATGGACAATTCACCCTGCCAGAGGTCCTTGAGAAATCACTTAAGAAATCCTTGGCAGGTGGGTGTCTCCTCCAGCCCAGCCCGCCGTTATTCTGAAGCTGTCCTCTTAGAGGTTACTTGGGACCTCCACATGGACAAATTAAAGGACTTTTCTCATTCTTCTTTTCATTTATTCACTCACTTAAAATATTTATGGTGCAATTCCATGTGCCAGGTACCTTGCATTTGGGGCATGTGGAGGTCAAACAGAATTCAATACTATTAATCCCATACTATTCCAATTTTCCATTATAATGAAGTAATAGGAGTTTAGATTCTCTGAATTGTCTGGATTCCGAGATTTCTGCTTCTCCCTCTGAATACTTCTCTAAGTACCTTTCTGTCTTTTTCTGGTTCCAGAAAATTCTAGTCCACTGTTCTCCAAAATGTCTTCAATGTATTACAAGTTCTTTAAGAGAGTTCCACAGTCAAGTTCCACTTGGAAACGCAGCATTATTAAATTTATAATGAAAGTTAGTACCTTAAAAGCTTTGAGAAGTAACACAATAGAAATTTCTATTTAACTCCTCTAATCTGAACTGGTTTGGAGGTTAATGCCATCTAATATTTAATGCAGCATCCCTCTGAACTGCTCCTTTAGACCCAGAAGTGGGAGGACATTATAAGGCTCTTGATCCTTGCCTCCTCCCTCTACATTCTGCTTCCTGATGCTCACATTTGTTCTGTTTTTACCTCCAAGGAGATGACACCTAAGGGACCTTCTCTAGCCTTTTCCTCATTTTCCAAACTAACTAAATGGACATCTCTGCTCGAGTTAAACATTGTAATGTTAAACTTAACCTAAAATTGAATTTGCCTTCTTGTCCAAAATCAAGTCTCCCCTGATGCATCCCTATTTTTGGAATAGTACTACCCATGCTAGACATATTGTTTATCTATTTGTTTTTGGTTTGGTTTTTTTGGTGGGGAGGGGATTTTTAGTGAGGGCAGAGGAAGGGGTTTGGGGGCAGATTGAGCAGCATTGCAACTTCACTTATATTTTTGGGAAAAAAAAATATCTTTTGTGTGCAGTTTGGGTGAGAAGTTGTGCATTGCCAACAGCTTCTGGGCAGGCCAGGCTTGAGCATGTGACTTGGGTTCAGCCAGCAAGCCTCCCATGGGTACTCTGAATCTTAAATTACTAGAATAGAGATAAAAGAATGGTTAAAATTCATTCATAGTGCAGCACTGTTCTGTGACAATAGTGGCCTTGAACTGGTCACTCCAGATGATTCTGACATGACGTGATCTAAAGTTTGAGAATCATTGAATCACATCTTTCTCATACATTGGCTTTTGTGGAAAAATTTGATAGTTATCCTACCTAAAATT